TGTTAGAGACCTGGGCTAGGGAGACTCAGAGAGCAAGGCGCAGCGGGAGGGGGTGGGTGTGAATGTCAAGGCAAGACCCGGACCACAGTGAGGCAGAGACGGAGAACGCCCCTGGTCAGAGACACACACACCTCCCCCTCAGTTAGAGACTGGGGGAGAGAGACACCTCCAGGGGCAGAAATCCTGGAAGGCAAATACCCCCGAGAGATATTTTCCCGCCCCGGACGGAGTGCGTTGTCCAGAGTGGGACCAAGAGGCACTGTCAGAGGACAACGCCCCCCAGGTCTCCTGGGAGACCCCGGAGCCACCCCTGGGGCAGCACTGGTCGTACTCGGGCCAGAGAGACCTCTGCTAGGTTGGGGGCGATGAGGACGCCGGCCTCGCACGGCCTCCTCCTTCTCCTCCACTTCCTCCCGATGCTGCCGCCACGCGGGGCTTCTGCCGGGAGCCTGCATAACCCAGGTGAGTCTTGGCCGGGCAACTGGGCCTTGACTACCACTCCCTCCTTCGCCTCCGCGCCTAGGACCCTGAGCCTGGGGAGGGGGCAGAGCATGTGGCGTGAGCAGCTGAGCAGCCTCAGGGCACCGCGGGCGCCGGGGGCTCTGGCTGGGGAGCCGGGCTGGAGTTGGCGTCAGGGGGTGATGTCGGGTGAGGCTCCGGACCTCCCCAGGCCCCGTCGTCGCCTTGCAGGCCTGTCCGAGTGCTTCCAAGTGAACGGCGCCGACTACCGTGGCCACCAGAACCGCACCGGCCCGAGGGGGGCCGGTCGCCCATGCCTCTTCTGGGACCAGACGCAGCAGCATAGCTACAGCAGCGCCAGCGACCCCCAGGGCCGCTGGGGGCTGGGCGCGCACAACTTCTGCCGGTGAGGGCCACGGGCGTGGTCGGCCTGAGAAGGGACCTTTGGGGGCGGGGCCTGTGCTGGGGTAGGGGCTGGGTGCACTATTGCCGGCGTAGGCCTGCGGCAGGGGCTCTGTGTGGACTGAGCGGAGGTTTCCGCTGGGCGGGTACTGGGTCCAGCCTGTGCTGGAGGCAGGGCTGGGCGCTCAGAACATTTTCTGACGTGTGTCCGGACTAAGGCGATCAACTCCTGCAGAGCCTCAGATCAGGCCGGGGCATTCCCGCGGCCAGTTTGGGTGGCCGGGTTCATGCCATACAACTTCTCTGAGGGGCATCCACTAGCAGTGACGGAGGAATTGGGGGTTCAGAGCCACAGCAGCTGTCTGGAGCAGCAGGGACCGAGCTGAGTTGGGAGAACACTTCTAGGCTGATAGGAGTCACCACTTCTGCTTTAAAGCAGGGGTCTAAAGCAAAGCACTTGGCAGAGGCCCTTGGCGGAGTTGGGGGCAAACACTACAGATGGCCTCAAGGTCCACATATGTGAGGTCACGTCCTAGCAACAGCTGAAGACCATTAGGACCTTTTAATAACTTCCCACTCAGAAGTCCACACGCAGAACGGAGAGGAGCTCTATTACACACGCTGGCCATTTTGCGAATAGGCCCTGGGGTGGGGCCTTGGATTTGTGGCCGTTGGGGTGGTAGGATCCGGACCACTTCTTTCCCATCCACAGGAACCCAGATGGTGATGTGCAGCCGTGGTGCTACGTCGCTGAGACGGAGGAGGGCATTTACTGGCGCTACTGCGACATCCCCACGTGTCACAGTGAGTAGGCCAAGCTGGACAACGGTGGGAGCTCTGGACTGCCTGAGTCAAGTTTACTTTTGGAGGCACCGGACAGAGCCTGACTCCCCGGCCCCTCCAGTGCCAGGTTATCTGGGCTGCTTCGTGGACTCAGGGGCACCCCCGGCTCTCAGTGGCCCCAGTGGCACCTCAACGAAGCTCACGGTCCAGGTGTGCCTTCGCTTCTGCCGCATGAAGGGCTACCAGGTACTGCCCACCGGCCCAGACCAGTGACCCCTGACCTTAACCTCAGGACCCAAATCAACTCCCAACTCTGACGCCAAACCTTGACACTGATTTCTGAACCTCCAGCCCAATTCCCACTTCTAAGCCCGACCCCTGGCTCCCACTAACTTACCCCTACCCCAGACCCTGCCCTTGGAGTCACCCAGTCTATGCTCCCAGCTCGCGGGTGTGGAGGCTGGCTACGCCTGCTTTTGTGGCTCTGAAAGCGACCTGGCCCGGGGACGCCCAGCGCCGGCCACTGACTGTGACCAGATCTGCTTCGGCCACCCGGGCCAGCTGTGCGGTGGCGATGGGCGCCTGGGCATCTACGAAGGTGAGGAGTGGACGGGGCTGAGGGGCCTGGGTGAAAGGAGGAGTGTGGGTGGGACACAGAATGCTAACTAAGTCCTGTTAGGGGGCGAAACGTGGGAAGGAGAGGCGGTAGGCTGGAGGCGAGGCCTGAGAAGAGGACTGGGGTCTGAAGAGAGAACAGGGCTGAACCTCCAGGCCTAGGGCGGGGTCTGGGGTTGAGAGCGGGATTTGAGGAGGGGATCAATGTAAACCTATAGAGGGGGCAGGAGGGTGCGGGTGAGCCGGCCTAGGGGCGGGGGCTGGTTGGGAAGCAGCGGGACTTGGGAGGAATGGAGCCCAGTCCCGTGAAGGTGAAGCCGGCGAGCCTCCGGGTTCTGACCACCAGCCCGGTCCACAGTGTCAGTGGGCTCCTGCCAGGGGAACTGGACTGCACCTCAGGGCGTCATCTATTCCCCGGACTTTCCGGATGAGTACGGGCCGGACCGGAACTGCAGCTGGGCTCTTGGCCCGCCGGGCGCATCCCTGGAGCTCACCTTCCGCCTCTTCGACCTGGCGGACCCGCGCGACAGGCTAGAGCTGCGCGACGCCGCCTCCGGCAGTCTGCTCCGCGTCTTCGACGGCACTCTCCCACCGCCGCCGGGGCCGCTGCGTCTGCGCGCCGCCGCGCTGCTGCTCACCTTCCACAGCGACGCGCGCGGCCATGCACAGGGCTTTGCGCTCACCTACCGCGGTGAGTCCCCGCCGAGTCCCCCCTAGGTCTGATCCCCCACCACTCTGCCTCACACCCCTCTCCGCAGGGCTGCAGGACGCCACCGAGGACCGGGCGCCCCCCAAAGGCTCGGCCCAGACCCCTGCAGCGTTTCCCGACGGGACCAACGTGAGCTGCAGCCCCCGGCCTGGGGCTCCGGAAGCTGCGATGGGGGGTGAGGAGGGCATTCGAGGCGAGAGGGAATTTGGGGAGCATATTCTTCCGAGCCCTGTCCTCACCGCACCCGTGTTCCCGCAGCCCGGGTCTTCTCAATGGTGATGGCTGTCTCAGTGCTGCTGCTGCTGCTGCTGTCTCTGCTGCGCTTGCTGCGCCAACGGTGCGCGCGCTGGGGCGCGGGGACCCTGGTGGGAAGCTGGGGACCCAGGAAGGGAACGGAGCTGGGAGGAATTCATGGGTTCTTGAGGGACAAGGCCTTGGGTCCACACAGGAAATCGAGCCTGGGATCGCTGGTGAAGCAGGATGCTGGGGGTGAGATTAGTTGGGGATTCAGCTGACGTCTATTCTCTGTCTAGGAGCTGTCTGCTGGCTCCGGGGAAAGGTCCTCCAGCGTTGGAGCATTCCCGGGGCTCCTGGAGAAGCTGGGCCGTGTGGTACCGCCGTCCTCGAGGTGTCGCCCTGCCCTGCTCCCCCGGGGTCCCCCAGGCTGAGGGTCTAGCCTCGAGTTACCGCCCCATGAGCACCTCCAGCCAGAGTTCCCTGCGTTCGCTCATCTCTGCTCTCTGACTTGGGACCTCCAAGGTCCTCTGGACCCTCCTACAGTGGAATGGACACTTGAGACGCTGTGCCACACTCTACCTTGGCCTTCCACTTTTTTAAAGGGCAGCTCGGTCTCTGGTCATTTCTCACAGGCCGGATGTCGGACAGAAAGCATCTAATGCTATTATTGGGAACTTGGCCTGATTCTAGGTGTCCAGATGGTGGAAGCCAAAGGACAGGAGGAATCAGCTCCCCTCCTCATAGACCTTGATACGGCATCTCTGATTTCAGGAGTCTTTGAGCCCCTCTTGGGATGGTCCTGGACTGCTGCCCTAAGTGAAATGTGAGAGATCAACAAAAGTAGCCAAAAGACTATCCATAGACTTTGAATAAAGGACCTGTTTTGGTACAGGGCTCTGTAAATTCTAACGTGGTGGGAAGAGTTATGTTGATGATGAAGACACTGGAGCCAAGGGCTGGGTGTGTCCATACAAATTAAGGGCGTTCTACGCAAAGTTTCTGGGAACCGCCTGAAATGCCCAGGCGGAAGGATGGGTGGGCGGAGTCCCGGAGATGGGGAGGAGGAGGAGGCTGGCTGTGAATCAGGTTAAGCAGAAGGGATACCTTCCTGGGCCCGCCTTAGTTTGAAGGGCGGGGACCGACCTTTCTCCCCTGCCCTCCTGCCCTTTCTTTTCCCCTCCGTTTCCTGCCAGTCTTGGGCGAGGCCAAAGGTGCATCTATGGGCCATAACAGGGAGCAAGTTTGGTGGAGCCCAAGCTCGAAGAAGCCTGACCCGAAGGGTAGGGCCTCTACCAGGGCGCCGGGCGCGTCACGCACACCCATAGAGGCCTGGGCATCTCAGGGCGCCTTGCAGCGCTCCCGGGGAGCCGGGCCAGTAGTACCTTGGGAGATCACCCCTGGAGTAGGGGTGCCCCGGCTCTAGACCTGACCCGTCCGAACATCCCGGGCCAGTAGTACCTTGGACAGAGCCTGGGCTGCGGGGTGGGGCTATGCTGGAAAGGGTGGGTCCCCAAAGGTGCGTTGACCTGGGGGTCGCGCAGAAAGCCCAGGCACGCACTGCGGGAGAACGCGAGATGCCGGGGTCACTCTGGCAGAGTCACGGGAACCAGAACGTCGGGTCCCAAGTCCACAGCCACCCCATGCAAATGAGGCTGGGTTCGCATATATTATACTAAGATGAAGGCCTGGGAGGTCTCGGGGCGGGGCCTCCCCGCCAGTCGCGCCCATTGGCCCTCATAGCATCTACGTCAGGGGCCCAGCGCGCGAAACGCTAGCGGGATAGTAGGGGGCGGTCAGCTGGGGCGGAGCCTGGCATCCCCGCCCGCGTCCGGCCGCGCCCGTCCTCCCGGCTGCAGAGACAGCTGGCCACTGCCGCCGAGGCGAGCTTTCCCTGCGGCGCGCCCGCCCCAGCGGAGCGAGCCGCACTGCGCTCCATCGCCCGGTGCGTCCCCAGCCTCCCACCCGGCGCGGGGGCGCCAGGCCCGCGCGTGCGCAGCGCGGAGGGGACGCGAGCCGGGACCCCAGGGCCGGCGCTTGCGCGAACTGTGCACTACATGGTGGGCTGGCGTCGCGATGAACCTCCCGCTGCTGCAGCCCCACTGAGGAGGAGGCCCGGGGACAAGAGGAACGCAGACAGCCCGCGCCCGGCTGGGCCATGGCGTTCCTGGCTGGGCCGCGCCTGCTGGACTGGGCCAGCTCGCCGCCGCACCTGCAGTTCAACAAGTTCGTGCTGACCGGCTACCGGCCAGCCAGCAGCGGCTCGGGCTGCCTGCGTAGTCTCTTCTACCTGCACAACGAGCTGGGCAACATCTACACACACGGTGAGCCGCGCCCCACATCCTACACCCGCGGCAGCCCTGCCCGCATTGGGCCGGGAGCCGGAAGGCCGAGGACTGCCCTAGCTCTCAGGTCCTGGGTTGCCCGGGCTCTGGCACGGCCAGGAGCCGCGGTGACAAAGCTGCCATTGTCCCAGACGGTGCTGCCCGCTTCCGCTCCCTCGGCAGGGCCCCGGGGACAGGCGAGGAAAGCAGAATGGGGGACTGAGTTGCTTAATCCCCCTAAGCCCTGGGGAGAAGCCTGGTGTCCGGCCCCTTCGTAATCCCGGCGCCCTGCTCACCCTCCCCCGCCAGCACCAGTCCCGGAGATAGGTGTTTACTTAGGCGAGGAGAGGCCCAGGAGGGAAAGCCAGGACCCAGCCTCTCCCCACGCGAGCAGCCCTAACACCCCCCTCCTGGGCAGCCCAGTCTTGGGGCTCCGCCTGGTGGCGACTCCTTCCTCCCCCCACCCTCCTCCCCGCAGGCGCCAGGCCCCTCCTCCGCGGCCCGGTTGAGCTCTGCTGACACAGCCCTGTCCGTCCTTGGCCTGCCCTGTCCAGCAAGAGGGGCCCTGAGCAGGCTGGGCCCAGCCTTGGTACCTGCCTTCCTAGAGGACTATGGCCTGGCCAGACCCTGCAAGAGTGGGCAGCCAGCGGGGAGGGAGGGGTAGGATGCCAAGGTTGGGAGGAGAAATGGAGCTCACTGAGGAGGTACCTGGGCAGATGGAACAAGCTCCTTTCAGCCCCCTTCTGCCTGGCCTCGCCCCCTTATGGAAGACAGAAAGGCCCAAAGCCTTCCTTTGGCTGGTCACTTATGGAGGAGAGAGGACATAGAGTTGGGATGAGCAAGCTGGATGGCCCTGGATCTGGTGTCATTGCCCACATGTCCTATTTAGAACTCAGCTTGAGGTCATGCCTACTTCTGGCTTCTGCTGACACACTGAGGTGGCCAGGTTGGGGGTGTGGGGCCCCCTGCTTTTAGGGGAGGTGATGTGGCTGCAGGGAAGGCTCTCTATTACTTGCTGGGGTCGCCTGGGGACGGGTTACTGTTTCTTCATCTGCAAAGTGGGGATAATGGGAAGTGGGGATAATGGGTTCTACTTCCAGAACCATTGTGAGCTCTTCTGAATTAAGTTCCTGAAAGCCCAGGGCCTGCCTCTGTCCCAGGTCTGGCGATAGCTGGCTGGCTATCAGCACTGTCAAGATCTGTCTTGCTCTCATCCCTCATGTCATCTCTAGACTGTGGACTCTCTGAGGACATGACCTGGTCCTCTCTGCTGAAGCTGTGTGATGGATAACTGTCTCCCTCCCCTAGGGCTGGCCCTGCTGGGCTTCCTGGTGCTGTTGCCAATGACCATGCCCTGGGGTCAGTTGGGCAAGGATGGCTGGCTGGGGGGCACACACTGTGTGGCCTGCCTGGCACCACCCGCAGGCTCTGTGCTTTACCACCTCTTCATGTGCCACCAAGGGGGCAGTCCTGTGTACACCCGGCTCCTTGCCCTGGATATGTGTGGAGTCTGCCTTGTCAACACCCTTGGTGAGTCAAGGGAAGGGGGAGGCTCGAAGGATGGGAGCTGGGGGGGGCAACTGGGGAGGGGAAGGCAGGGGACACTTACATGAGCCCTGGGTAGAAAGGGCAGGCAGACCTGCAGACTAATGTGCCCTCTCCTGACTCTCTTCTCTATGCAGGGGCCCTGCCCATCATCCACTGCACCCTGGCCTGCAGGCCCTGGCTTCGCCCAGCTGCCCTGGTGGGCTACACCATGCTGTCGGGTGTGGCTGGTTGGAGGGCCCTCACCGCCCCCTCCACCAGTGCTCGGCTCCGTGCTTTTGGTTGGCAGGCTGGTGCCCGCCTCCTGGTGTTTGGGGCCCGGGGAGTAGGACTGGGCTCTGGGGCCCCAGGCTCCCTGCCCTGCTACCTGCGCATGGATGCGCTGGCACTGCTTGGGGGGCTAGTGAACGTGGCCCGTCTGCCAGAGCGCTGGGGACCAGGCCGCTTCGACTACTGGGGCAACTCACACCAGATCATGCACCTGCTCAGTGTGGGCTCCATCCTGCAGCTGCATGCTGGCGTCGTGCCTGACCTGCTCTGGGCTGCCCACCACGCCTGCCCACCAGACTGAGCCACCTGCTGTGCTGGCCTGCCCACAGTCTTCTAGGGCCAACACCACCAGGCTTCCTTCCTGTTGGTCTGCAAGGAGCTGGCTCCCTGGATGCTTCCCAGCTGGGAGCCCTTGCCTGTACACCCATTCTTCCCTTGGGACAAACCTCTCCTACCCACACCTCGGAGCTCCAGCATCCCTCCTTGCCTTTTTCCAGGGCAATCTTCCTGTGCAGGCTGAAAGGAAAGCACTCCTTCTCAGAGCCTCAGTTTGCCCTCTGTGACCTGTGAAGGTTGGGCCAGAGGGGCTCTGGGGTCAAGTCTTGCTGACAGTTGGAATCCTGCCAGCCCAAAGCCATCACCCCACCAGGCCCCTCTTCACACCTTCATGCAAGGTACTTTGTGGGTGCCTGACCCAGCCACCAGCCTACGATTCCTGACTTGTCTTTGGGCCCTGCATGCCAGCCCTCCCAGCAGCCTGAGGCTCGCCCACCCCTTCTCCCTTCTGTCCAGACTGTGGAGTGAGGGGTTTGGGCAGCAGGACTAACCCATATCCCAGGACCAAGGGGCAGGAGTGCTGCTGCTGCTTTCTCCAGGCAACTGACAGAGATATAAAGAGCTGAGTAGCCCTGGACCCAGGCCCCATTGGGCTGGGGGCCCATTCTCCACCATGAGTGCCATGCTCTGACAACTCCACCTGCCCTTTGGGGATGTATCTGCTCAGGAAATCTCTGCTCCACCCAGTGTGGGGTTCCCAGCTCGTCGGCTGGCCTGGGGCCCTAGGCGGCGTCAATAAAAGGGGCAAGAAGCACTGTGTTGCCACGCAAGCAAGCTTGGGTGCTCCCAAGTTTCAGATACCTTTTATTAGACATGGCCAGGCAGAAGGGTCCACTGGCGTTCCCAGAGGGACCCCAGCTTCCAAGAGGAGGTGGGGATAGGCTAAAAGGTTAAAAGCACCAAGGCTAGGCTGGAGCTCAGGTTGGGCCCAGCGAGTCCTCAAACATGCTGAGGAGGTTCCGTGGCTCAAAGGAGGGGAAGGAGCCCTGAGGGGGCTCAGAGTCAATGTCACTTAGGTCTAGGGCATCCCTGGTGGAAAGAAAGCGAGATAAATGACTCAGGATCCGAAAGCTGCGCCTTCCATCCCCTCCCCCTGACCCTGGGCCTACTTACCTGAGTGTGTGTGTGCTCCGGGGAGTGGAGGTGCTCCTGGCAGCCCTGGCCCGGATGGCCTCTGGAGAAAGCGAGGGCCTGCACAGGGTGTCGGGGGGGGGCGGGAATGCACGGTGAGGAGGTCTTGGGAGCAGCAAGACCAACCCTGTCCCTGTGCAGGCTCCCACTGGACAGAGGCAGGGACCACAGTCGGGGACAATGAATGTGTGGTACCCTTTGAAAGAAGCACTTTCACATTTAAAGTCCACCTGACCACATTCAAAGGCCACCTCTGTCCCTTTTCAGAAGATGGGCTTCAACTGAGCTGGCTTTGAAGTGAACCTATGGTAAATGAAGTTTTTCTGGCACTTCGTTTCTACTATAAAGTGTCCCTGTGGCAATGGGATGACGTTTTCTTAAGGAAGGGATTAATGGCGTGATTCCTCCTGAGAACTGTCTGTGCCGGAGTATGTGGTTTTCCTTTGCAGCAGTGTCTTAATTACAGCTTCTTACTTGGCCACCAGGCACCTGGGACTAAGGAATTCATCCCAGGGCAGGGACTCGCCAGGTTCTGGGGGCATCGTCTCCCGAGAGTGCACTGTCCTTAGACACTGGCAGCCTCAACAAAAGCGGGGGCTACACTGCCTACCAATCCCAGTGGGGGCCGTGGCCCTTGCACTGCTTGCTAGTGTGTCAGCGCCCTAAGCGTGAAGCTGCCAGTTCTGCTGTGCTTTGCTCAGCAACCGTTCCACACACTGAGTGCAGAAGAAAGATGCATTCAAACTAAGCCAGGCTGCACCCCCACTAGCCTTGGCGCTCTTCCTGGGGTATGACGGGGCCAAGTTTGTGGGAGGGGTCCCAGTTCACCACTAATTCCCATGGGGCCTGGACCTCAATGTGGGGGTTGGCCACAATGACAGCCCATTTCCCCACCCCCACCCATCCATCCTGAGCGCTCACCCACCCTATGCTGTCATCATCCCAGTTGCTTGAGTGGCTGCTGTCCAAGAGGAGGCTGTAGGGTGGCGAGCCGGGCGGGGTAGCTGGCGGGCCTGGGGGCTGCAGCCAGCTGGAAGGGTGAGCCAGCCCATGCCAGAGCCAGCAAAGCAGGGCAAGCAGGGCCTGTGGAGACAGGGAGGGGGAGCCGAGGGAGGCTGGGCAGACCCAGGGCCAGGGAGCAGGGCAGAATAGCCTGTCACTGTCACCAGGCTTACCTGCCACAGGGCCCACCCTCGACTCAGGGCTTCAGCAGCCATGTACCACAGGATGCTGCATGGTCGCGACTGCCTGAGCATAGGCAGGGCCAGCAGGGCCTCAGCCGTGGCCCGCAGGTTGGGGTCGGGCTCTAGCATCATGATGAGGACAGACCGCAGCTCAGAAGACATGCCTGTCCACAGGGCAAGGCCAAGTCAGGGGTAATTGGTCCCTGAGCCCAGAAGTCCCCACTGCCAGCCATTCCCTCCTACACAAGTGTTCCCTCCCCATGGCACCATGTCCCCTCTCATGGTGGACTTGGTACCCCCCACTCACCGGCAGTGAACTCAGGGGGCAGGTAGCCCTGGCGCAGCTGCTGCCAGCCCTCCCCGCCATGGGGCAGCTCCATGTTGCATGCCACTTCTAGGATGGTGAGACCCAGACTAGGGGGGACAGGGACAGAAGAGGAGCAGGATTGGCCTTAGGCCACAGACCCCAGAACCCCAGGCTGCCCCTGAGAAAAGGATGGGAAAGGGCGGCTATCTTTCACCATGAGCCAGAGAGATGGGGAAGGAGGGGCTAGCGGTCCTGAGAAGACCCCAGAAGGGCCAATGATGGGACCATGTCATGAAGCATGAACCCAGTGCCCAGCGCAGCCCACAAGTCACTGTGGTAAGTCCTGTTGGTGCCCCCACCAGACAGGTACTATAGTTAATAGTGTTACTATCATGGTCCTGTGGATATGGATGGATAGACTATTAGAGGCAGAGTGGTGGTTCCTAGCATAGACCATGAAACCCAGCATCTGGTCCAGTCCCACCTTCACCACTTGCTAACTGTGGACTTCAGGCAAGTCCCTTAATCATGCTGTGTCCGTTCCTCTATAAATGGCATAATAATAGTCCCTCCCTGGAGATGTGATAAGGAGATGAGTGAATCCAATCGAACAGCTCCAAGGGGCTTGCTGCTTAGACAGCCTGACAGAACCCCCTTAACTAGAGGGTGGGGCCTCCACTCTCTTAGGGCAGGGCCTCCCAACCTGAGGCCAAATCCTCCTGACTTTGGGATAGAATGGCATTTCCCTCCCTCTGCTGACTGTATGCCACCCAGGAAGGGCCTCCCGGGCCCAGCCTTCACCTGAACACGTCAGCCGCTGTCCCGTAGGAGCCCTGCAGCAGCTCGGGAGCCATGTAGCGGGGGTCTCCCTCCTGGGCCTCACTGGCTCCGGAAGCACCCAACTCCACCAACAGCCCAAAGTCACCCAGCTTGCAGTGGCCTCGGGGCCCCAGGAAGATGTTGGCAGGCTTGATGTCAAGGTGGACCAGGCCTTGGCCATGCAGGTGGGCCAGAGCGAGCAGGATGTCCCGCAGGTAGCCCCAGACCTGGGCCTCAGGCAAGCTGGTGCCCCAGGCCTCACAGTGCTGCTGCAGGTTAGACCCACACAGCTCTGTCTGCAGGTACAGGATGCCACCCTCCTCCCAGGCTCGTTCCAGCCGCACACAGCACGGGTGCTGCCCCACCTTCTCATGGCCGCTGACCTCGGCCAGCTTGCGGGCCCGGTCCTTGGGGCCCCGGAATGGTGACATGGCACGCTTTACTGCATAGAGCTGGCCGTCTTCCTTGGAGCGCACCTGGAAGGGAGATGGTGCCACAAGCAGGGTGGGAGGTGGCACAACCATTTAGCAGAACAATCCAGCGGATTCTATAAAGATTTCACATGTGCAGAAGGTGCAGCATGGCATCTACCTTAGAGACACCCCTGCATGTGCAATAACAAAACCAGATAGACCTCCACCCCCGGCACTGGTTTGCTGGAGGCCCAGGGAGGAAGAGACAGGGCGGACCTCTAAGTACTAACCCAGAGGGGCTCTCAGACCATAAGAAAATGAAGAAAAAGCCAGCAACAGAACAATACAGACAGTGTGATCCACTGTGTAGAATAGAAATGGGTTTGTCTCTATAGGGTCAACTCTAGAGATGTATAGAGAAAGCTCTGGAAAGAAGGATGCCCACCTGAGAAGCCCAGTGGTTTCCTAAGGGAAGGAGAGGCTGATCTAGGGGCCTATGTTGTTTGTACTTAATAACAACAAAAATGTCTTTATGTAGTATGGAAAACTACCATTTTAAAGGAAATATAAATTATTGAAAAATATATTTTTTCTAAAAAGGTGGCATGGAGGGTGTAGCCTAAGCGACTGCAAGCCTGGGGGTGGCTGGGGGCAGGGTGTGCACTGCACTTGGGGGGCTGAGTCTGGGGGCCAGGCAGAGCTTTCCAAGAACCCCAGCACAGCTGGCTCCAGGGAAGGAGGAGATGGCAGCTGGGAGCCACCGCCAGGCTCTGGGTAAAGGGAAAGTGTGCACTGAGGGGGCCTGTGGAGGGCCCTGCGTAGGGGGTTATAAGAAAGCAGCCAAATCAAGCACTGAGGAGGGGAGCCTGTCAGCCCAGGAGAGACGGGCTGTCAGAAGACAAGGGGAACAGGCTGCCCAGAACACTGTCCCATCCAGGCAGGGCGAGGGAGGCAAGGGCACTCCCAGACAGGCCCAGAGAATTGTCACCCCACTCACCTTGAAGACTTCTCCATAAGAGCCATGGCCCAGGCGGCCGAGCCTCTGGAAACTCTGCTGGAAAAAGGACTCTGGCCGGCTTGGGTCATAACCAGGGCTCTGCAGGGTCTCAGAGGCTTCGCCTCGGAACGATACCCTCCGGGGCTGGGGCTGCTGCCAGCATGGGGTCCGAGGAGGGAAGAGGCGGCTGATGGGAATGCTGCCCTTGGCAGGGGGCCGGGGTGGGAGGCTCCGACTAAGCCCCCTGGGCCTCTTGAGGGAGAAACCAGGTTCTGCGTGGTGGAAGTAGGCCGGGACTGGGATGGGGGTGCCACTCAGGGATGTTGGGGTGCCCTCTGTGGGCACAGGCATGGCCAACACAGGAGATCCTGAGAGGTATAACACAGAACAGTGTGTCCACTCAAATAGCGCCTTGTCCTGTGGCCCCAGAAAGGCTGTGGAAGAAAGCCGCGTCTATTCCACACACATGTTCTGCTTTAAACATGGAGGCCGTGGGGGACATGAGCACCTGCCGGGAAAAGGCAGAGGACAAATATATACACGCCTGCACACAGTCATCTGTACCTGGAGGTCAGAGAAACATAAACTGAAAAGCACGAGGCCGTATCCTGGAGGCTCCCACAGTCCAGCAGATGTTACACTAAGGCAGGTTCTAGAGCTAGACCACCCACGCATACATCTCTGCCTTGTCACAACCTCTATTTGACCTTAAGATATGCAACCTCTTCCAAGACTGTAAGGTGGATATATTCACACAGGTCCACACTTCCTTATCTTTAATTCCAAAGTAAAAAAGGTCTGATTCCAGAATTTTCTTTCTTGCTTTCTTTGTCATAGTTGTGATGTTAAAACTCATGGAACGGGGGCCAGGCTCAGTTGGTTAAACGTTAGCTTAAGAGTATG